TACCAGTATTGCCCTTTAAAGAAGATTTTTATAAGATTAAAAATTTTAATATCAACTGCGATAAATCTTATATAATAATAAATTTCCTTTCTTTTTTCTTTAAAAATGGGCAAACAAAATAGGAACAGAGAATATTTGTTTAGAGAAAGATAGTTTATACAAAGATCTACCGGTATTGCCCTCCAAAGAGGACTTTTATAAGATAAAAAATTCTAGTATCAACTGTGATAAAGCTTGTATAATAATAAATTCCATTTCTTTTTTCTTTTGCATTTTTAAAAAGGAAACTCGAACATATATTCCAATTTATAACCTGAAAGAAATTTCCAAAAGAAAAAGTACGTGAAATGACAAATAAGTAGACCAATCAATTCCTGATGATCATGGCTCATATCCCACCAAGCATCTAGTAGGAGCTAGTAGATACCGTAGGCTCTTCCAATCCCTTAAAGATATCTGTAACCCATTGATTTGACACCATTCCTAGTCCATGTGGTACTAAACAATCAGGTCAACACCCTCTCAGAAGTTCTCAACATTTTACACACAACTAAATTCATCTCTTTGAATTTGGTCCAGGTGTGTGATCTTTCACATCTGATGAGAATATGAATAGACCAAATACATCTAACAATAAGATGATTTTGATATTTAGTTCCCTTTCTGGATTTAAGATTACAGAATTACAAATGTAATTAATCCCAATATGCTTCCCAAGGGACCTAGAAAAAGTACCTATAAAGTTGTACTAATTACAAGTTATCAATTTACCACCAACCTTGATTGCTCAAATCCATCAAGACATCTAATAAGATCTTGTAGACAGCGACCAAATTTAATTCATGGAAGATGTAAACAGCAATCCATGTTTAGGATCTTCGATGGGCAATAGTCCACTAGCCAATCGTTTTTCTCGTTTTTTCAAATATTCCTCAAGTCACAATGCCCCTATTTCCTAGTTTGGTTGTCACACGAACAGGAACATACCCTGAAACACACGAGTACATCTCTAACAAGATCTCTACCAACTTTCACTTTTTCAGAAGCCTTGGCAATCGGAACACCATTGACATGTTAACTTTGTTAAACTTGTTAGAGATCTTTCATTACTCATGTCAATCTGATAGCAGGATCTCAACCGTAGATTCCTTGGAATTGTACACATGTCAATCCTTCTTTGACCACGTTAATTAGAATCTTAATTACTACCATACTCCTTTTACTAATGTGTTCTAGAAAGCAAAAGTCCCTTCTAAGATTAAAGTATTTGCTCATACCACTATTCTTTTTTTTTAAATATGAAAAAGAATATATTCAAGAGCACCAATTGGGTGCAACTTATGTATAACAATTAGATATCAATCAAAAGATCAATAAGATCTCCAAAATCTTCATTAAAATAATGCGGATGAACCTTGATAAAAAAAGGTT